AGAATTTAACAGCTCTCATTAAAAATGAGTTGTTGATCATGAAGTGAATGCCTGGTTAAATACTGGAAAAAATAGCAAGAACGAAAAATTGTGAAGAGCAGTCCACAGCAACATCATCTGCCAAAGCAGCAGCCAGCATTGCAGAGGAACAGTGATGTGTAGGGACAAAATGAAATGAGGAAATACAGTGAACTGGAGAGAGGGGCAAGTATGGAAAGAAAGAATGAAGCTGAGGAATAACATAATGGAGACATATTGCACAAGTCTCAAAGAACCAGGATAACACCCACCCACAAAGGTTAACAATTACAGATCAATATCTAATCTACCAATATTATCAAAAATATTTGAGAAAGTGTTTTAAAAGCAGCTGTATTCGTACTTAAAAAAAAAAAAAAAATGTACCAAAGAATGGTGGTTCCAATACTTTTACATGGGTGTGAGGCATGGGCTCTAAACATTGCAATGAAGAGGAGGCTGGAAGTACAAAAATAATATGTTGCACAGCACTGTGTGGTGTTAATATTATGCAGATAATTCATAGCATGGAAATTAGAAGAAGGTATAGAGTTACCAAAAGTATAATTCAAAGGACTGAGGAGGAAATGTTAAGGTGATTTGGCCCTTTAGAGAGGATGGAGCAAGACAGAATGACTATGAGGGCATATAAATCTGGAGTGGGAATAGTAGTAGTAGGGGGTCACCCCAGCAAGGGTTGGATGGAGAGAATAGAGGTGGTTTTAAGTCTTAAGGGCTTGAGCATCCAGCAGGCTTGTATGAGCATGTTAAATGAGAGTGAGTGGAGGCAAGTAGTTTTTATGATTTCATGTGCTGTTGGAGTGTGAGCATTTATGAAGGGATTCATGGAAACTGGTTAGCTGGACTCAAGCATTGAAAACAGGATGTATGGTGCCTGCACTCTAAAAGAGGAGTTCAGAGGCCCATTTGAATTGTGATGCATGCACACTTATAATAATAATACTACATTTCAGCATGATACAATATTTATACAAAAGTGAATGACATTTAGATGGGCATGCAGAAAGCCCCTTAACCTTTTGACTGTTTTGGTCATATTATATACGTCTTCCAAGCCACCGTTTTTGATGTATATATACTCAAATTCTAGCGGTTTCAAATCAAGCAGGAGAAAGCTGGTAGGCCCACATGTGAGAGAATAGGTCTGCGCGCACCATATAAAAAAAATCCTGCAGCACGCAGTGCATAACGAAAAGAAAAAAAAAACTCCGACCATTTTTTTAATTAAAATGCCGACTTTGTGGTCTATTTTCATATAGTATTTATGGTTATGGGGGGATAAGTCTGTTGAGTATACCTGGTAAAGTGTATGGTAGAGTTATAATTGAAAGAATTAAGAGTAAGACGGAGAATAGGATAGCAGATGAACAAGGAGGCTTTAGGAAAGGTAGGGGGTGTGTGGACCAGGTGTTTACAGTGAAACATATAAGTGAACAGTATTTAGATAAGGCTAAAGAGGTCTTTGTGGCATTTATGGATTTGGAAAAGGCATATGACAGGGTGGATAGGGGGGCAATGTGGCAGATGTTGCAAGTGTATGGTGTAGGAGGTAGGTTACTGAAAGCAGTGAAGAGTTTTTACGAGGATAGTGAGGCTCAAGTTAGAGTATGTAGGAAAGAGGGAAATTTTTTCCCAGTAAAAGTAGGCCTTAGACAGGGATGTGTGATGTCACCGTGGTTGTTTAATATATTTATAGATGGGGTTGTAAGAGAAGTAAATGCGAGGGTCTTGGCAAGAGGCGTGGAGTTAAAAGATAAAGAATCACACACAAAGTGGGAGTTGTCACAGCTGCTCTTTGCTGATGACACTGTGCTCTTGGGAGATTCTGAAGAGAAGTTGCAGAGATTGGTGGATGAATTTGGTAGGGTGTGCAAAAGAAGAAAATTAAAGGTGAATACAGGAAAGAGTAAGGTTATGAGGATAACAAAAAGATTAGGTGATGAAAAATTGAATATCAGATTGGAGGGAGAGAGTATGGAGGAGGTGAACGTATTCAGATATTTGGGAGTGGACGTGTCAGCGGATGGGTCTATGAAAGATGAGGTGAATCATAGAATTGATGAGGGAAAAAGAGTGAGTGGTGCACTTAGGAGTCTGTGGAGACAAAGAACTTTGTCCTTGGAGGCAAAGAGGGGAATGTATGAGAGTATAGTTTTACCAACGCTCTTATATGGGTGTGAAGCATGGGTGATGAATGTTGCAGTGAGGAGAAGGCTGGAGGCAGTGGAGATGTCATGTCTGAGGGCAATGTGTGGTGTGAATATAATGCAGAGAATTTGTAGTTTGGAAGTTAGGAGGAGGTACGGGATTACCAAAACTGTTGTCCAGAGGGCTGAGGAAGGGTTGTTGAGGTGGTTCGGACATGTAGAGAGAATGGAGCGAAACAGAATGACTTCAAGAGTGTATCAGTCTGTAGTGGAAGGAAGGCGGGGTAGGGGTCGGCCTAGGAAAGGTTGGAGGGAGGGGGTAAAGGAGGTTTTGTGTGCGAGGGGCTTGGACTTCCAGCAGGCATGCGTGAGCGTGTTTGATAGGAGTGAATGGAGACAAATGGTTTTTGATACTTGACGTGCTGTTGGAGTGTGAGCAAAGTAACATTTATGAAGGGATTCAGGGAAACCGGCAGGCCGGACTTGAGTCCTGGAGATGGGAAGTACAGTACAGTGCCTGCACTCTGAAGGAGGGGTGTTAATGTTGCAGTTTAAAAACTGTAGTGTAGAGCACCCTTCTGGCAAGACAGTGATGGGGTGAATGATGGTGAAAGTTTTTCTTTTTCGGGCCACCCTGCCTTGGTGGGAATCGGCCAGTGTGATAATAAAAAAAAAATATTTATGGTTTTTTTGGTCTCATTTGATAGAATGGAAAACACATTATAGAAATAGAGGTGATTTTGACTGGTTTTACTATGAAAAGAACCTTGAAATGGAGTTCGAAGTAGGGGATATGTTTGATTTTTGTTGATGTTCAAAAGTAAACAAATGATGTCATTTTCCAATAAATGTCCAAGTAGCCATTCTAATATGCAGTCATGAATGGGTTGACATTATTTATACAATTATTACAATACTGCAGTAGTCTGCATAACAGTAAACCTTTTATTTTTTGTTTGAATAAAAATTCAAAATAGAAAGCAAGAGTAATATCAGAGGGGCCTGGAGATGAGACTGATGAACAAAGAAAATGTTATTTTAGAGCCAGGAATGTCTGTAATGTTCATTCTGGGCCCTATTTTGAAACTGTCATATTTTTTTTAATTTTCGTGAAATTGGCCAAATTGCAAATTTCTGACCACGTTATTGGGTAGTTGAAATCGGTAAATGGGCAGTTTCTTGTACTCAATCGATAGAAAAAATGGAGTTCTAAAGAAGTAGCTATGAGTTTGGTCGACTGGAACAATGGAATTAGCTGAAAATAGCGCTCAAAGTGGGCGAAACTGCCGATTCATAAATATTGCCAAGGTCACTAAATTTGCAAGAGCGTAATTCCGTCAGTTTTCCATCAAATTTCATTCTGTTGGCATCATTACAATCGGGAAAAGATTCTCTATTATTTCATAATTTTTTTTTTTCGGAAATTTTGCGACACGAGGAGACACCTCAGGATTTGGGGCTGCAACAGTCAACGGGTTAATATGCAGAGCATTTTGGGCAAACTTAAGACTAACTTAAGATTAATTAGGCAATGACAATTTGAGTAATTTTGTACATACAGTTTCTTGGGCGAGTGTAAATATAAGTTTAGTAATTACAATGAATACAAAAGAACTGAATATCTTATTAGTTTATGTTACATGGCTTTTATCAAGTTTAATTATTTAAGGAATAACAAGTTGATTGTGATTATAGATGATGAGGATTCTAGCATATTAACATAAAGAAAATACAATCAATGTTTGAATGTTGGGGAGGATTACAATATGTAGAATTAAGAGCGGGTAAATGAATGACAGTGAATGTGTCTCCTCAATTTTTTTTAGATGCCCTACCTCAGTGGGAGAAGGCTGGTGTATCAAAAAAATTACATTAAGTTAGTGTTCGTATGAAAGATCAACAGCATACAAATGAATATTAGCATATAAGAAACTATTTGTAGAATCAGAACAAATTGATGCTGGTGAAGGTGTATTAATTCAAGATAATGAAGTCACCCTCCTCCTCTTTAGATCAAAACAGTTTTCTCACAAGAGTTTTACACTCTCTCATTAGCATTAACAAAGAACAAATGCTGGGTTACAGTTTGTAAAATAAAAATTTTAAAAAATGTTAAAAATAACAGCTCATATTTTGATGGATGAATTAATTAATATTATTATTTATTTTGTTAATTTTATTTCAGTTCAGGTGTTTTACAAGTAACCTCTTACATTTATGAGTCTTACCATACCACGTGCAGGGATAGAAGCCATGATAGTGTCATTTACGATTTTGTGAGTCATTTATGAGTCTTAATTGAAGAAAATTAACTAATGATACTAGTTACACATAGTGTACATGTCAAACCAATTCCAAACCAACCAATTCCACTTCACCTTTCAAATAAAGATACAAATACTTCTTAGTAAACCCATTTTAACTTGTAATAAATAAGAAATTAATGAAAGCATTCATAGGACAATATTTTTCTAAAAGAAAAAAAAAGGTGCACACTCGTATCCTTCACCACAGCTCTGTATCTTGTATGGGTACGATTAATTCCTTTAAAATTAATATCTAATCTGACATTCATAATTTCCTAATATAAGGTTGTTTATTTCTAAATATCCTAATCCTGAAAAAAAATATACACAAAGCTTGGATTAAAAGAAGTAATTACTTTAAGACACAAAAGCACTGCACTAACATTAACAATGTACCTGCACATCTAGGACATAACTCTACACCAAGTTTGTTAACAATAAGATGTACAGTACTGAACATTTAAGTATCTGACAAACAAAGTAGAAAACCAGAAAGATAAGAACTAACCTGCGACGTGTTCGGTGCTCCAAATCTGGCTGTGCCTCATCTTCACCTGCCATAAAAAAAACAAGCTATTGATCTGTGTTCAATGATAAAATATACAGTAATATTAGAGTTGGTAGATCATGATCACTCACAGTAGCTCTATGATATTACAGGTAAGATTGATTTTTACTTTAGCCATACCCTCAATATACTATCCTAGAATATACAGTATTCCAATAACACTAAACAATGCTTATCTCATAACATTTAGTAATTAGGAAGGACACATTGGTCACAAGAATTCTTTTACCTAACATTTTGTCAGTAATTCTACCAAAATTATTACATTTAGTGAACTTTCTTGCTTCTCATATTTAATAATATAGTGGACCCCGGATAACGATCAGCTCCCAACTCGACCAATCATGTAAGTTTATTTTTGTAAGTGCTCCTGTAGGTGTACTTTTAGGGGTCTGAAATGGACTAATCCAATTCACAATACCTCTTATGGGAACAAATTCGGTCTACAACGGCACCCAAACAGACTTCTGGATTGAAATAATATCGTTATGCGGGGGTCCACGGTACTTCCTTTCTACTAATTTAAAAATGATTTCTGATAGCCTTTTTCTTTATTATATGGCCATATCCCACCAAGGCAGGGTGGCCCATAAAGAAAAATGAAAGCTTCGATTTTTAAATTTAGTAATGCATACAGAAGGGGTTACTAGCCTTTTATTGTGTTTCAATATAAAAAAGAAGAAATTATGCTACTTAAAGGGAAAAAAAGCACAAATAAAATTAAAGCAGAACTAAAGGTATTAAAGCAGAACTTTTCTTTTTCTTTTAAGATCACCTTGCCTTGGTGGGAGTGCCAGTGTGTTAAAATAAAAATTAAACTATTATTTTCTTAATTGATTTCGAGTGCTTCAGACTGTGTAGAAAGTCACTGACCATTAAAACATTAAGCAGTAATAATGTGACCAAGAAAAAGAGATATGAGTAAGCAGTCTGAGCTACATGATGTGTACAAAGAAAAACTAAAATAATTTTAATATTTATCTAACAGTCTAACTTGAGACTTCTTAATGAAAACTGCTAAATTATACAATTTTAATTCAATAACTTAAAATATAACAAATTCAAGTGCCATTATACTACAAATATAAATTTTCATGCAGATTTCAATTACAATGTCAATTATAATGTTATCAATGAAATTAAGTCATACAGTCAATTGTATTAGTTTCCAAAAACCAAAATACAACTTAATTTCTAAATTTTAATATAAAAATGAAATACAGTATTTATTTATTATACTTTAGTGTAAAAAATATCAAAATATTTAAAAACACAGTAGTTTTATGACTTGAACTTCAATTTAAAATGTCAGTAGAAACTTTTTCATGTTTTAAATTTTCTTTCCTTATGACTGTGGAAAAAAACAGTGTTCAAGGATGTCTCCATATTTTCAGGCAATTTTTCATGTGTGAGCTTTGTCAAGGCAGACTTAACAAAATTTACCGAGTAAAATGAATGATAATTTTTGCTGACCCTTGAGCAAAGTTCTTTTCCACATATTTGTGAGTACTTCCGCTCCCCAGAGCTTCATCAACTTCAACAGTAAATGGACGAATCAGTGTAGTTAAACATTATGAAAAGGTATTATTTATACTCAACAAGATGGATACAGCATTTCCATGTCATCCAGGCTAACGAAAAGAATAACATCTGCCACAGTTAGGTTAGGTTATGCAAGATTCATCAGAAAACAGGACGAGTGTTTCCTGATGTGGGTCTTAGTCATCTGACTGAGGTTTTCCACTGACTTACCCATCCACCCCTTTAAAACTTCACTTAATTTTTTTTACATATTTGCCTCATACCCAAGTGTCATAATACTCCAAAACTAGTTTCATAGTTGTGAAGAAAATATTTTAAGTAAAAAAATGCCCAATTACCACATAACAATGCAGAATGAATAACCTCACCTATATGGGGTTGCGGGGGTTTTGCTTACTCCTGGCCCCTATCTCTCAACTTGCCACTTGCCAGATTCACTCTCTCTCTTAGCCTCATGGGCCCTATCACACCTAGTCTTAAGAATGTGCATGGAGTCTGCCTCGACCATATCTTCATCTAGGTCATTCCATTTCTAACCCCCCTGAGACTGAAGAAATACTGCCTGACATCCCTGACTCGTGTGTTTTTTTAACTGCTGTTAACTTGTTCCCCTGGTACTTCTGTCCTCTAGGATCAGTAGATTCAATTCCCTTTAGCTTTTCCTCATAAACTCATACCCCTTAGCCTCTGGAACTAGTTGTGTTGCATACTTCTACAAAATTTCTCCAATTTCTTAACATACGTACTACTTCAAAGTGTGGGGTCCATACTAGTCCCTGCTTTTTCCCAAAATGGGCCAGACATATGCAGTATAAAGAACCCTGAATAAATGTCGTTGAGATTCCTGAAAACCACTCTCAGATTTGCCAGATAAGCATTGTCTCTAGGGGTTATTCAGTTGATGTGAACCTCTGGCGATATAGTAGGCACTATAATTACACTCAGGCCCTTCCTTTGAAGAGGTCTTTTGGGCCTTTGTCCTCCAAGTCCATACTCTGGCCATTAGTCTGCCCCCTTTCCCAATCTTAAACAACCTTGCATTTGTGTCTGTGTATATCTGTATGCCTGAGTAATGTTATAAATGTATATACAGTACACATTTTTTTAACACATCATCCATTTTGGTATTGCCAATTTATCCTGAGAACACCTTCTCAAACCATTTTATCAGCACTGCACAAGCTTCCTTAGTCTTTCTTCTGGTGTGGCTGTGAAGAATTTTTGGCTCAGACTTGACCTTCATTGCTATATTCTCAAACTGTCCCTCAGCCTATCCCTTCACCCAACCATATTAATTTCTGGCTAATCTGCTCACTTCTCTATTCTTGCCTGTTCTTCACTTTTAGTTTTTCCACACTCTTATGCTTCTTTTCTTTGCCTCTCTGCATTTCTGGTTGAACTAGAAATGTCTTTATTGTTTCTGCATCTTCTTCTGGGTATTAAATTTTCCTCTGCCTCTCTGCAATTTCCAGCTAGGCACTCAAAGAAACTATTATTTTTTGTAATTTACAAAATGTAGGTTACATATAATAAAATCCTAGGTAATAGGTTGGTAGGCAGTAACCGCCCAGGGGGGTACTACCGTCCTGCCAAGTGAGTGTGAAACGGAAGCCTGTAATTGTTTTATGTGATGGTAGGATTGCTGGTGTCTTTCTTCTGTCTCATAAACATGCAAGATTTCAGGTATGTCTTGCTACTTCTACTTACACTTAGGTTACACTACACATGCATGTACAAGCGTATATATACATACCCTTCTGAGTTTTCTTCTATTTTCTTACCAGTTCTTGTTCTTGTTTATTTCCATTTATCTCCACGGGGAAGTGGGACAGAATTCTTCCTCCATAACCAATGCACGTTTACGACATGCACAAAAGAAAGCCACTAGTATCCTGTGCATTTCAGGTATCATCTTATCCCCTGACTTTCCTTCCAGTTCACTTTACCAATGCACTGTATACAGGAATTCTCTCATCCTCTTGAAATATCCTCTTCTAAAGTTGGGATTCTTGTGTTCTCCACCTGTCATTCTTCCCTCTACTTTCAGTTCCACTAGGTACTTAAAGTTTAAGACTGCATGATTACTAGTGCCCAGGGGGCTGTTATATTCTATTTTGCCTATGTCAGATATACCAGCAGTAAAAGCAGACCAGTTTTTCTGGCTTATCTTCTGTTTGTCTGTCTGTCTGTCTGTCTGTCTCTTCATGTTCTTCACATGCTGACTCAAAAAAAGTTTCCTCAAATAACCCCCATCAACTCAGCACTCCACATTTCCAATCCCCCACGTGGGTTCCAGTTCTTCCAATCTATTTGTTTGTGACTGAAATCACCCATGTATTTTAGCCCTGTGTGCACTCCTAGCTGCTTCAGCTATGTCAATCATCACCTTGTTGTTGTTTTCATATTCCTGCCTTTGTATTCTTTTTTTATACAATGGATTGTATATCTATACAACTACAGTACTACTGTTTATTTCATAGTGCTCAGAATATTTTTGGGTAATCAGGTTGGTATTTTATAGTGCCCTGTGGCCTGGTGGCTAAAGCTCTCACTTCACACGGCAAGGGTCCGGGTTCAATTCCTGGTGAGGGTAGAAACATTGGGCATCTTTCCTTATACTGGTTGTCTATGTTCCCCATCAATAAAATGGGTACCTGAGTGTTAAGCAACAGGTATGGGTTGCATCCTGGGACAAAACTGACCTAATTTGCCCAAAATGCTCTGCATAACAAGTGCCTTTCTATATAGTAGTATGTCATTGATGTCAGCTAGGCCTGTATACCTTGTACATGTACATACTTATATAAATAAAGATATTATTATTATAATTATTATTCATTTCAGTGTTGAGAATAAGTACTTATATTGGCATGGCATTAAACTAAACAAATCTATGAACTGATGACAAAATGCAAAAGAATGCAGAACAAAACAATGCTTTCTTAAAAAAGTAAGAGAAAATTCTTTATGTCACTGTAAATTTACTAAAACCATCATAAATATAATTTAGGTGTTACATGTGGGTAACAGGAATTTTTGAAGGACTGAACATTTTTGGAATAACAAGATCAACTCTATAATAAATATAATGGCCAGATAAGCAAATAATTTTAGATTTGCAATAACTACATTATTTCAAGAATAAGCATTAGCTTATACTGGTGAATGTAAACATGGAACTTTCTGATCAGTGTTTTTACAAGACTATTTATATGCCTAACTCGCCAAAGATAAAGACTATGAAAACATAATGGATGTAACTTGTGTTTATTCGTAGCCCTTTAACAAAATTCCACATGATATGACATTTAAATATAAAGTTACAAAATTCTCTACGACAATAACAGATTTGTTTAGAGATAACCATCAGGAAAAACTTTGACAGAGACAGTACAGGTTAACAAATAAAGGATTCTGGCAAGGATGGTGTAAAAGGAGGAAGGATAAAAAATTTGTATCAGATTTACTATTAAAACACCCGACCCCATGCATACCGATTTCAAACTGGACACGATTCTTCTTACGAGATGACTCATCAATATACGGAAAATCGTATTCTACCGGCCGAATGCAGGATCTGGAAATGACAAGTATTTATATACACCTATAAATGAAAACAACATTAGTCAAAGAGTATATTACACTTCTAATACTATATATTAACCCTTTGACTGTTGCGGCCGTATATATACGTCTTACGAGGTACCGTGTTTGACGTATGTATACTCATAAATTCTAGCGCCTTCAAATCAAGCAGGAGAAAACTGGTAGGCCCACATGTGAGAGAATGGGTCTGTGTGGTCAGTGTGCACCATATAAAAAAAATCCTGGAGCACGCAGTGCATAATGAGAAAAAAACACTCCGACTGTTTTTTTTAATTAAAATGCCAACTTTGTGGTCTATTTTCATATAGTATTTATGGTTGTATTCTCGTTTTCTTGGTCTCATTTGATAGAATGGAAAACATATTATAGAAATAGAGGTGATTTTGATTGATTTTACTATAAAAAGAACCTAGAAATGGAGCTCAAAGTAGGGGAAATGTTTGATTTTTGCCAATGTTCAAAAGTAAACAAATGATGCCATTGTCCAATAAATGTCCAACTAGCCATTCTAATATGCAGTCATGAATGGGTTGATGTTATTTATACAATTATTACAGTATTGCAGTAGTCTGCATAATAATAAGTCTTCTATTTTTTGTTTGAATATAAATTCAAAATAGAAAGCAAGAGTAACATCAGAGGGGCCTGGAGACATGACTGATGAACAAAGAAAATGTTATTTTAGAGCCAGGAATGTCTGCATTGTTCATTCTGGACCTTATTTTGAAATAGTCATATTTTTTAGTTTTCGTGAAATTGGCCAAATTGCAAATTTCTGACCACATTATTAGGTAGTTGAAATCGGTAAATGGGCAGTTTCTTGTACTCAATCGATAGAAAAGATGGAGTTCTAAAGAAATAGCTATGAGTTTGGGTGACTGGAACAACGGAATTAGCCGAAAATAGGGCTCAAAGTGAGCGAAATTGCCGATTTGTAAACAGCACCGAGGTCGCTAACTTCGCGAGAGCATAATTCCGTCAGTTTTCCATCAAATTTTGTTGTTTTGGTGTGATTACAATCGGGAAAAGATTCTCCATCATTTCATAAGAAAAAATATTTTTTTTTTTTTTAAATTTTGCGACACCAGGAGACACCTCAGGATTGGGGGTTGCGACAGTCAAGGGGTTAAATGGTGTTCCTTAGAATTCTATTTTCCAACAACATGCATCTAAAAACTAGTCTTCTCTTTAAATTCTAATACAGGGAAGGGGGTCTTTGTTATACATCTCTTATTCATGCAACAATCTGTTATACAACTGCACATTCAGTAAGACACCTATTCCCTCTAAAATAAATAAATAAAAAAATTTTTTTATTTTTTTTTTATTAACACGTCGGCGATTCCCACCAAGGCAGGGTGGCCCGAAAAAGAAAAACTTTCATCATCATTCACTCCATCACTGTCTTGCCAGAAGGGTGCTTTACACTACAGTTTTTAAACTGCCAGAGTGCAGGCACTGTACTTCCCATCTCCAGGACTCAAGTCCGGCCTGCCGGTTTCCCTGAACCCCTTCATAAATGTTACTTTGCTCACACTCCAACAGCACATCAAGTATTAAAAACCATTTGTCTCCATTCACTCCTATCAAACACGCTCATGCATGCCTGCTGGAAGTCCAAGCCCCTCGCACACAAAACCTCCTTTACCCCCTCCCTCCAACCTTTCCTAGGCCGACCCCTACCCCGCCTTCCTTCCACTACAGACTGATACACTCTTGAAGTTACTCTCTTTCGCTCCATTCTCTCTACATGTCCGAACCACCTCAACAACCCATCCTCAGCCCTCTGGACAACAGTTTTGGTAATCCTGCACCTCCTCCTAACTTCCAGACTATGAATTCTCTGCATTATATTCACACCACACATTGCTCTCAGACATGACATCTCCACTGCCTCCAGCCTTCTCCTCGCTGCAACATTCATCACCCATGCTTCACACCCATATAAGAGCGTTGGTAAAACTATACTCACATACATTAACCTCTTTGCCTCCAAGGACAAAGTTCTTTGTCTCCACAGACTCCCAAGTACACCACTCACCCTTTTCCCCTCATCAATTCTATGATTCACCTCATCTTTCATAGACCCATCCGCTGACACGTCCACTCCCAAAATACTGAATACATTCACCTCCTCCATACTCTCTCCCTCCAATCTGATATCCAATCTTTCATCACATAAATTACACATTTTGAAGTGCAAGTAGTGTCATGGTTTGTTCATCATGTTTTTTAGTGCTTCAAAATTCATAATAATTTTTTTTAGCATACCAGTCATCTCTCACTAGCTCTTTGCTCCCCGCATTTTAGTCCCCTCTTACTACACACATGGCTTAAGGAGGAAGGTTTCTTCTCCACGCCCTCATGGAGTTCAACATGACCATTTTTAACACGTCGGCCATCTCCCACCAAGGCAGGGTGACCCAAAAAGAAAGAAAAACCCAAAAAGAAAGAAAAAACTTTTCATCATTCAACACTTTCACCATCACTCATACATAATCACTGTCTTTGCAGAGGAGCCCAGATCTGGAGCCCAGATTTGGAGGGACATCTGAACTCCAGAGAAGTTCAGATGCCCCTCCAAACTGTCAATATCCCAAACCCCTCCTTTAAAGTGCAGGCATTGTACTTCCCAGTTCCAGGACTCAAGTCCGGCTAACTGGTTTCCCTGAATCCCTTCACAAATTATTACCAGGCTCACACTCCTACAGCTTGTCAGGTCAAAAAAATATACGTCTCCATTCATGAATATCTAACACACTCATGCATGCTTGCTAGAAGTCCAAGCCCCCCATCCACATAACCTCCTTTATCTTCCCTCCAACTTTTTGGGGTCAACCCTTACCCTGCCTTCCTTCCCCTACAGATTTATACGCTCTCCAAATCATTCTACTTTGTTCCACTCTCTCTAAATGACCAAACCATCTCAACAGCCCCTCTTCAGCCCTCTGACTAATACTTTTAGTAACTCCACACTTCCTTCTAATTTATTTCCACGCTACAAATTCTCTGCATAATATTTACACCACACATTGCTCTTAAGACAGGACATCTTCAGTGCCTCCAGCCGTCTCCTCACTGCAGCATTTACAATTATTATTAGTATTATTAAATTTATTACCAGCTATTATGACTTCCAAATGGTCATCAAGTAACTTATACTCCACTGAATCACTTCACCTGAATCACTTCACCCAAGATTAAACACAAAACTGGCTAGTTTACAGCAGGTAAATGTTGATGAGAGACCAGGTGCTAAGAGCAAAACTCTTTGTCTGCATAATCAACAATGTGAAAGCAATTGCTCATTATGTGAATAACATCAATGCTGGCAATTAACCTGCAGTTGCAGCAACTTAATAAAAAACATAGAATCTAAAGGTATGGAGCGAAGATCAAAAGCTGACAACTACTGAAATTTGTAACCAAAGATTTTCACCTAAAATGCTCATTCCTCAGAGGACAAGCTTAAGATGTTAAGGTACCCTAAGTCAACACTGACTTGGTGCTCACCCCATCCCATATTTTATAAAAAAAAAATTTTTAGCTGGAAATATAAAAATTCCTGTGCATAATTTTATTGTTTATTTCCAGCCATACCTCTCTCCCTCATCACCTGTCTCACCTCTAATGCCTTAATTTTTTTCATGTACTTTGGAATTTCTTTTCTAAACCGTTCACATGTTTCTTGTAAACTGATAGTGATATTTTGTCCTTTTTCTGTGCTTTGATTTCTGGCACTCCCTCAACTTTGGCACCCAAGCCAGCCTTGAGTTTTTGAATACACACCAATGGTATACCTCGAGACCTGAAGAGGGCTTAGAGGGTCAACGCCCCTACAGCCCGGTCTGAGACCAGGCCTCATGGTGGATCAGGGTCTGATCAACCAGGCTGTTACTGCTGACTGCACACAAACTGACGTGCGAACCACAGCCTGGCTGGTCAGGTACTGACTTTAGGTGCCTGTTCAGTGCCTTCTTGAGGACAGCCAAGGGTCTATTGGTAATTCTCTTTATGTATGCTGGGAGGCAGTTGAACAGTCTTTGGGCCCCTGACACTTATTGTGTTGTCTCTCAGTGTACCTGTGGCACCCCTGCTTTTCATTGGGGGAATGTTGTATCTCCTGCCAAGTCTTTTGCTCTCATGGGGAGTGACTTTCATGTGCAAGTTTTGTACTAATCCCTCTAGGATTTTCCAGGTGTATATTATCATGTATCTCTCTTGCCTGCATTTCAGGGAATACAAATCAAGGGATTTCAACTGTTTCCAGTAATTCAGGTGCTTTATCATACTTATGTGTGCCATGAAAGTTCTCTATACACTCTCCAGGTCAGCAATTTTGCCTGCCTTGGGAGGATGGGGGGGGCAGTTAGTGTACAGCAGTATTCCAGCCTAGGGAGAACAAGCAGTTAGAAGAGAATCATCATGGGCTTGGCATCCCTAGTTTTGAAGGTTTTCATTATCCATCTTATTATTTTTCTAGCAGATGCAATAGATATACTGTTGTGGTCTTTGAAAGTGAGATCCTCTGACATTATCACTCCCAGGTCCTTCACATTCCTTTTTTGCTCTACTGTATGGTTTGAATTTGTTGTATACCCTGATACAGTTTTAATTTCCTCAAGTTTTCCATATCTGAGAAGTTAAAATTTCTCTTCATAGAACATATTGTTTTGAGTGGCCCATTTGAAGATTTGGTTGATGTCCACTTGGAGTTCTGCGTATCTTCGATGGAGGACACTGTCATGGCAATTCGGGTGTCATCCACAAAGGAAGACACACAGCTATGGCTTATATCTTCAGATATGAGGATGAGGAACAGGATGGGAGTGAGTACTGTGCCTAATGGAACCGAGCTTTTCACCGTAGCTGCCTCAGACTTTACTCTTTACTTTTACTCTTTGTGTTTCATTTTTTAAGAAGTTATAGATCCATCTACCAATTTTTCCTGTTATTCCTTTATCACACATTTTGTGTGCTATTACACCGTGGTCACACTTGTCGAAGGCTTTTGCAAAGTCTGTGTATACTACATCTGCATTTTGTTTATCCTCTATAGCATCCAGGACCTTATCATAGTGGTCCATATCCTCTGTAGCATCCAGGACCTTGTCACAGTGGTCCAGTAGCTGGATAAAATTTGAAAAATTACTAAATATTGTATAGAGCTTCTCCTCACTTAAGACAGAGTTCCATTTCTGAGACTAAGTCGTTAAACGAATTTTTCACCAAGTGAGGAGCATACTATAATAGTAGTGAGTTTGTGTCAACCATCTTTGATATTATTTTAATGTCACCTTTGTACCATTTATAACATTTCAAGTACACAGTGGTACCCCGAGTTTCAAACTTATTTCATTCCTGAATGCTGTTCGAGTGCCAATACCGAACGAATTTGTTCCCATAAGAAATAATGTAAATTAGATTAGTCCGTTTCAGACCCCCAAAAATACACTTACAAATGCATTTGCACAAATACACTTGCATAATTGTTTGAGTTGGGAGCAGTTCAAAACTCAGGGTACCACTGTATTTTTAAATGTTTATACAGTAGTGTACTGTATATTGAAATAAACAAAATAAAGGAAATCGGCTCTAATATACTACTACATTATTTATGTATGAATACTGGTCAGAGAGCCCATCATAAGTCCGAGGCGTCGGTAAACGAGTACATCGCTAAGTGAGGAGAGGCTGTATATTAAAGGAGGGGTATGAGATATTTGCTGTTTAGAAGGACATCTAAACTGTCATATCTGTGCACCTCTGGCAAGACAGTGATAGTGTGAATGATAGTTAAAGTGTTTCTTTTTCGGGTCACCCTGCCTCAGTGGGACACAGCCAATGTATTAAAAAAAAGTGAAGTCAATGGAAAAAAATGTGATTCATTATCCAATGAATTACTTTACTCCCAAGTTTGCTATAATGTCTCTGAATGTATAATAAGAACACCATGTATAATACAGATACAGTAAACTTTCAATATAACAGACTATTAGGGGCTATTAAATTTGAAAGTTACAAAAAAGCAAAAAAAATTTTTAATGGACTCTACTGTATACCTAATATAGCAGACAATTTACAAATATACTGCAATAAACACTGAATATAGAGGAGTTAAAGGTGTAACTTAAATAGTTCATTTTGTCCATAGTTTTGAAAGTTTATTATATTGGGAATTTACTGTAAAAGTCAGACAAGTGTTGTGTTTTTAACCCTTTCAGGGTCGACAGGCCCTCTCAGAAACTTGTTCTCAGGGTCGGCCAAATTTCAAAAAAAAAAAAAAAAAAAAAAAAATTCTCATGAAATGATAGAGAATCTTTTCCCGATCATAATGACACCAAAAGTATGAAATTTGATGGAAAACTTACGGAATTATGCTCTCGCGAAGTTAGCAGTCTTGACGATGTTCACGCATCGGCGATTTTGCCCACTTTGAGCCCTATTTTTGGCCAATTCCAGTGTGCTTGTCGACACAAATCATAACTATTTCGCTAGAACTCCATTTTTTCTATCAAATGAGTACAAGAAACCACCCATTTACCGATTTCAACTATCCAATACAGTGGTTAGAATTTAGCAATTTTGCCAATTTTACACAAATTTCAAAAGATGCCAATTTCCAAATAGGGTCCAGAATAAACAAGAAAGACATTCCTGGCACTAAAATAACATTTCCTCTGTTCATCAGTCACGTCCCAATGCCCCTCTTACATTCTTTTGCTTTCCACTTTTAATTTTTATTCACACAAAAAAATAGAAGATTTACTGTTATGCAGACTACTGCATTGGTGTAGAAATGGTATAAATACTATCAGCGCACTTGTGAAAGAATATTAGACTCACCAGTTGACGTGTATTGGATGCATAGCATGATTTGTTTACTTTTGAACTTTGGTAAAAATCGAACATTTCTGCTACTTTGAGCGCAATTTCAAGGTTGTTTTCTTTGTAAAACCAGTCAAAATCATCTCAATTTCTGTAATATGTCTTCCACTCTATAAAATGAAACCAGGAAAACTAGACTACAACAATAAACACCATACGAAAATACAGTGCAAAGTCGTTGTTTTAATCCAAAAACACGGTCAAAGTTTTTTTTTTCTCATTACGCACTGTGTGCTGCAGGATTTTTTTTATACCATGCACACTGACCACATAGACCCATTCTTTCATATGTAGGCCTACCAGCTTTCTCTCACTAGATTTGAGGGCACTAGAATTTAGGCGTACTAGTACGTCAAAAACCCTGGTGCGTAAGCCGTACTAGTACGGCCGAAACCCTGAAAGGGTTAATGTACTTATTTCATTAATTTTATTATTATACAGAATTACAGTGGTACCTCAGGATACGAACAGCTCAAAACACGAACAATTATATAAGTGTATTTATGTAAGTGCTTTTGTAAGTGTATTTTTGGTGGTCTGAAACGGATTAATCTAATTTACATTATTCCTTATGGGAACAAATTCGTTCGGTATCAGCACTCGAACAGCCATCTGGAACGAAATAAGTTCATAGCCCGAGGTACCACTGTATATTTAATTATATCCTTAAGTCATTAGATTTGATGTACAGTGTTACTTATTACAAGTACCAATATGCCAACTTAAACTTTCATCCTTAACACTAAGACATAGGCTACAGCAGAGAAGGCTAAGAAAAATGGTTGTTGTGGCAAGAAGCAACATAATAAGGCAAGACAGTGATGGAGTGAGTGATGATGGTGGTGTTTCTTCTTTAACAGGTCACCCTGCTTCAGTGAGAAATGGCCGATGTGTTAAAGTTAAAAAAAGGGGGGGGGGGAACAACAAAAGTGATGGATGATGATAATAATATACAGCACAATTATTTAAAACATTAAAACCACTAATAAGAGCACTGTATCACAAGTCAACAACAAATTATTTGGGATATCAGTTACTGATGTTTTCTAGTAATTCAATTTATAAATGACACAAATCAAATGTAGATTACCTGAGTTGTGAATCATCAGAGAGTAAAGGTGCATCTTCCTCATCATCGGATGAAAGACCTGAAGAGAAGTTTTTACGTAGAGTCGGTTTGGGAGGACTGCTTACATCTGCCTCCTTTCTGTAACACAGCGATTATTGTAGTATTATGCTTTATGCACAGGAATATTCTATATTCAGTTTAAGAACACTTAATATATTATAGGGAAAAAGGAGCTACTGTATATGTATAAACAACAGTGATACAAATGAAAAGTTCATAGAACATTACAGAGTAAAAAATAATTAGAAATAATGTTACAGAGCAAAAAATAATTAGAAATAATGTTACAGAGTAAAAAATAATTAGAAATAACAAGTGTCTCACCCTGTCAGCAATTCCTCAGCAACTTCTGGTTCACCCACTTGAAAGGAGACTCCTTTAGCTGCCTTTGTTTCTTCCTCCTCATTCTCTTCTTGTTTTTCCTGTTTATAATCAGTTTTGCATTTAGCTGACCATAAATTAATGCTTTCATTTCTGACACATAAGAACATAAGAAAGAAGGAACACTGTGGAAGGCCTACTGGCCCATGCAAGGCAGGTCCAAGTCCTCCACCAGCCCAAACTAATGCCCCAACCTAGTCAGTTCAGGTCACATTCACTTAAGGAAGGAGCATGGCATCTGACCTAGCAGCACAAGCTAGTCAGGTCCAACTCACACCCACCCACTCATGTATTTATCTAACCTATTTTTATAACTACACAACGTTTTAGCTTCTATGACGGTACTCGGGAGTTTGTTCCAATAGTCCACAACTCTATTACCAAACCAGTGCTTTCCTATATCCTTCCTGAATCGGAATTTTTCCAACTTAAAACCAATGCTGTGGGTCCTGTCTTGGCTATATATTTTTAGCACACTATGGAGAGTAAAAGAAAGGTGAAGAGAGTGGTGAGAGAGTGCAAAAGGAGAGCAGATGATAGAGTGAGAGAGGCACTGTCAAGAAATTTTATATATATGATAAAAAATTTTGGAGCGAGATAAACATGTTAAGAAAGCCTAGGGAATGAATGGATTTGTCACTTAAAAACAGAGTAGGGGAGTTAGTAGATGGGGACCTGGAGGTATTGGGTAGATGGCGGGAATATTTTGAGGAACTTTTAAATGTCGATGAAGAAAGGGAGGCAGTAATTTTATGCACTGATCAGGGAGGTATAACACCTTTTAGTAGTGAAGAAGAGCAGGATGTGAGTCTGGGGGAAGTGCGCGAGGCATTACGTACAATGAAAGAGGGTAAAGCAGCTGGAACTAACAGGATCATGACAGAAATGTTAAAAGCAGGGGGGGATATAGTGTTGGAGTGGTTGGCATTTTTGTTTAATAAATGTATGAAAAAGGAGAAGGTACCTAGGGATTGGCAGAGAGCTTGTTAGTTTCTTTGTATAAAGGGAAGGGGGATAAAAGAGATTGTAAAAATTATAGGGGAATAAGTTTACTGAGTATACCAGGAAAAGTGTACAGTAGGGTTATTATTGAAAGAATTAGAGGTAAGACAGAGTAGGATTTCAGATGAGCAAGGAGGGTTTAGAGTGGGTAGGGGATGTGTATATCAAGTGTTTACATTGAAGCATATATGTGAACAGTATTTAGTTAAAGGTAGGAAAGTTTTCATTGCATTTATGGATTTAGAAAAAGCATATGATAGAGTGGATAGGGGAGCAATGTGGCAGATGTTGCAAGTATTTGGAATAGATAACTATTCTTGTTAAGTGAATGTATAGGAGCCTTTGAACCAAGTGAGAGAGTAATTGTGGTAGGGGACTTGAATGCTAAAGTAGGAGAAACTTTTAGAGAGGGTGTGGTAGGTAAGTTTGGGGTGCCAGGTGTAAATGATAATGGGAGCCCTTTGATTGAACTTTGTATAGAAAGGGGTTTAGTTATAGGTAATACATATTTTAAGAAAAAGAGGATAAATAAGTATACACGATATGATGTAGGGCGAAATGACAGTAGTTTGTTGGATTATGTATTGGTAGATAAAAGACTGTTGAGTAGACTTCAGGATGTACATGTTTATAGAGGGGCCACAGATATATCAGATCACTTTCTAGTTGTAGCTACACTGAGAGTAAAAGGTAGATGGGATACAAGGAGAATAGAAGCATCAGGGAAGAGAGAGGTGTAAGGTTTATAAACTAAAAGAGGAGGCAGTTAGGGTAAGATATAAACAGCATATGGAGGATAGATGGGCTAATGAGAGCATAGGCAATGGGGTCGAAGAGGTATGGGGTAGGTTTAAAAATGTAGTGTTAGAGTGTTCAGCAGAGTTTTGTGGTTACAGGAAAGTGGGTGCAGGAGGGAAGGAGCGATTGGTGGAATGATGATGTAAAGAGAGTAGTAAGGTAGAAAAGTTAGCATATGAGAAGTTTTTACAAAGTAGAAGTGATGCAAGGAGGGAAGAGTATATGGAGAAAAAGAGAGAAGTTAAGAGAGTGGTGAAGCATGTGTAAAAAGAGAGCAAATGAGAGAGTGGGTGAGATGTTATCAACAAATTTTGTTGAAAATAAGAAAAAGTTTTTGGAGTGAGATTAACAAGTTAAGAAAGCCTAGAGAACAAATGGATTTGTCAGTTAAAAATAGGAGAGGAGAGTTATTAAATGGAGAGTTAGAGGTATTGGGAAGATGGAAGGAATATTTTGAGGAATTGTTAAATGTTGATGAAGATAGGGAAGCTGTGATTTCGTGTATAGGGCAAGGAGGAATAACATCTTGTAGGAGTGAGGAAGAGCCAGTTGTGAGTGTGGGGGAAGTTTCGTGAGGCAGTAGGTAAAATGAAAGGGGTAAGGCAGCCGGGATTGATGGGATAAAGATGAAATGTTAAAAGCAGGTGGGATATAGTTTTGGAGTGGTTGGTGCAATTATTTAATAAATGTATGGAAGAGGGTAAGGTACCTAGGGATTGGCAGAGAGCATGCATAGTTCCTTTGTATAAAGGCAAAGGGGATAAAAGAGAGTGCAAAATTATAGGGGGATAAGTCTGTTGAGTGTACCGGGTAAAGTGTATGGTAAGTTATAATTGAAAGAATTAAGAGTAAGACGGAAAATAGGATAGCAGATAACAAGGAGGCTTTAGGAAAGGTAGGGGGTGTGTGGACCAGGTTTTTACGTGAAACATATAAGTGAACAGTATTTAGATAAGGCTAAAAGGTCCTTTGTGGCATTTATGGATTTGGAAAAGGCGTATGACAGGGTGGATAGGGGGCAATGTGGCAGATGTTGCAAGTGAAAGGTGTAGGGGGTAGGTTACTGAAAGCAGTGAAGAGTTTTTAACGAGGATAGTGAGGCTCAAGTTAGAGTATGTAGGAAAGAGGGAAATTTTTTCCCAGTAAAAGTAGGCCTTAGAAAGGGATGTGTGATGCCCACCGTGGTTGTTTAATATATTTATAGATGGGGTTGTAAGAGAAGTAAATGCGAGGGTCTTGGCAAGGGGCGTAGAGTTAAAAGATAAAGAATCACACACAAAGTGGGAGTTGTCACAGCTGCCTTTGCTGATGACACTGTGCTCTTGGGAGATTCTGAAGAGAAGTTGCAGAGATTGGGGGATGAATTTGGTAGGGTGTGCAAAAGAAGAAAATTAAAGGTGAATACAGGAAAGAGTAAGGTTATGAGGATAAAAAAAAGATTAGGTGATGAAAGATTGAATATAAATTTGGGAGGGAGAGAGTATGGGGGAGGTGAACGTATTCAGATATTTGGGAGTGGACGTGTCAGCGGATGGGTCTATGAAAGATGAGGGGAATCATAGAATTGATGAGGGAAAAAAAGTGAGTGGTGCACTTAGGAGTCTGTGGAGACAAAGAACTTTGTCCTTGGAGCAAAGAGGGGAATGTATGAGAGTATAGTTTTTTCCAACGCTCTTTTATGGGTGTGAAGCGTGGGTGATGAATGTTGCAGCGAGGAGAAGGCTGGAGGCATTGGAGATGTCATGTCTGAGGGCAATGTGTGGTGTGAATATAATGCAGAGAATTCGTAGTTTGGAAGTTAGGAGGAGGTGCGGGATTACCAAAACTGTTGTCCAGAGGCTGAGGAAGGGTTGTTGAGGTGGTTCGGACATGTAGAGAGAATGGAGCGAAACAGAATGACTTCAAGAGTGTATCAGTCTGTAGTGGAAGGAAGGCGGGGTAGGGGTCGGCCTAGGAAGGGTTGGAGGGAGGGGGTAAAAGGAGGTTTTGTGTGCGAGGGGCTTGGACTTCCAGCAGGCATGCGTGAGCGTGTTTGATAGGAGGAATGGAGACAAATGGTTTTTAATACTTGACGTGCTGTTGGAGTGTGAGCAAAGTAACATTTATGAAGGGATTCAGGGAAACCGGCAGGCCGGACTTGAGTCCTGGAGATGGGAAGTACAGTGCCTGCACTCTGAAGGAGGGGTGTTAATGTTGCAGTTTAAAAACTGTAGTGTAAAGCACCCTTCTGGCAAGACAGTGATGGAGTGAATGATGGTGAAAGTTTTTCTTTTTCGGGCCACCCTGCCTTGGTGGGAATCGGCCGGTGTGATAATAATAATAATAATAACTATTCTTGTGTTACTACCACTACTACCACCACCTCTTCCTGCCTATATATACTCGTCCTGCTCCACTTCTGGTTAGTATGACTTTGTAAATGGTCCAAGTTGGACCGAAACGTCGTCGTAAGCTTCTCTCTTTTATATGCGGGTTATTTGTGTATATGGAATGGGTAGTAAGTTACTAAATGCTGTAAAGAGTTTTTATGAGGACAGTGAGGTTCAGGTTAGGGCGTGTAGAAGAGAGGGAGATTACTTCCCAGTAAAAGTAGGTCTTAGAAAGGAATGTGTAATGTCACCATGGTTGTTTAATATATTTATAGATAGAGTATGTAGGAAAGAGGGAAATTATTTCCCAGTAAAAGTAGGCCTTAGACAAGGATGTGTGATGTCACCGTGGTTGTTTAATATATTTATAGATAGGGTTGTAAGAGAAGTAAATGCGAGGGTCTTGGCAAGAGGCGTGGAGTTAAAAGATAACGAATCACACATAAAGTGGGAGTTGTCACAGTTGCTCTTTGCTGATGACACTGTGCTCTTGGGAGATTCTGAAGAGAAGTTGCAGAGATGGGTGGATGAATTTGGTAGGGTATGCAAAAGAAGAAAATTAAAAGTGAATACAGGAAAGAGTAAGGTTATGAGGATAACAAAAAGATTAGGTGATGAAAGATTGGATATCAGATTGGAGGGAGAGAGTATGGAGGAGGTGAATGTATTCAGATATTTGGGAGTGGACGTGTCAGCGGATGGGTCTATGAAAATTGAGGTGAATCATAGAATTGATGAGGGGAAAAGGGTGAGTGGTGCACTTGGGAGTCTGTGGAGACAAAGAACTTTGTCCTTGGAGGCAAAGAGGGGAATGTATGAGAGTATAGTTTTACCAACGCTCTTATATGGGTGTGAAGCATGGGTGATGAATGTTGCAGCGAGGAGAAGGCTGGAGGCAGTGGAGATGCCATGTCTGAGGGCAATGTGTGGTGTGAATATAATGCAGAGAATTCGTAGTTTGGAAGTTAGGAGGAGGTACGGGATTACCAAAACTGTTGTCCAGAGGGCTGAGGACGGGTTGTTGAGGTGGTTCGGACATGTAGAGAGAATGGAGCGAAACAGAATGACTTCAAGAGTGTATCAGTCTGTAGTGGAAGGAAGGCGGGGTAGGGGTCGGCCTAGGAAAGGTTGGAGGGAGGGGGTAAAGGAGGTTTTGTGTGCGAAGGGCTTGGACTTCCAGCAGGCATGCGTGAGCGTGTTTGATAGGAGTGAATGGAGACAAATGGTTTTTAATACTTGATGTGCTGTTGGAGTGTGAGCAAAGTAACATTTATGAAGGGTTCAGGGAAACCGGCAGGCCGGACTTGAGTCCTGGAGATGGGAAGTACAGTGCCTGCACTCTGAAGGAGGGGTGTTAATGTTGCAGTTTAAAAACTGTAGTGTAAAGCACCCTTCTGGCAAGACAGTGATGGAGTGAATGATGGTGAAAGTTTTTCTTTTTCAGGCCACCCTGCCTTGGTGGGAATCGGCCAGTGTGATAATAATAATAATAAAAAAATAGAGTTGTAAAAGAAGTATATGCTAGGGTGTTGGGGAGAAGGGTGAGATTAAATTATGGGGAATCAAATACAAAATGGGAGTTGATATTGTTACTTTTTCTGATGGGAGATTCTGAAGAAAAGTTGCAAAGGTTAGTGGATGAGTTTGGGAGGGTCTGTAAAGGTAGAAAGTTGAAAGTGAACATAGATAAGAGTAAGGTGATGAGGGTATCAAATGATTTAGATAAAGAAAAATTGGATATCACATTGGGGAGAGGCAGTACGGAAGAAGTGAATGTTTTCAGATATTTGGGAGTTGACGTGTCAGCGGATGGGTTTATGAAGGATGAGGTTAACCATAGAATTGATGAAGGAAAAAAGGTGAGTGTTGCATTGATGTATATGTGGAGACAAAAAATGCTATCTATGGAAACAAAGAAGGGAATGTATGCATGTATAGTGGTACCAACTCTCTTATATGGGTGTGAAGCTTGGATTGAAAATGCTTCAGCGAGAAGGCGGTTGGAGGCAGTGGAGATTTCTGTCTAAGGGCAATGTGTGGTGAAAATATTATGCAGAAAATTCGGAGTGTGGAAATTAGGAGAAGGTGTGGAGTTAATAAAAGTCAAGAGGGCTGAAGAGGGACTGTTGAGGTGGTTTGGTCATTAAGAGAGTATGTATCAAAGTAGAATGACATGGAGAGCGTATAAATCTGTAGAGGAAGGAAGGTGGGGTAGGGGTCGTCCTCAAAAAGGATGGAGGGACTGGGTAAAAGAGGTTTCGTGAGTGCGGGACTTGGACTTCCAGCAAGCGTGCGTGAGTGTGTTAGATAGGAGTGAATAGAGACAAATGGTTTTTGGGACATAACTAGCTGTTGGAGTGTGAGCAGGGTAATATTTAGTAAAGGGATTCAGGGAAACCGGTTATTTTTATATAGCCAGACTTGAGTACTGGAAATGGGAAGTGCATATATACAATGCCTGCACTTTAAAGGAGGGGTTTGGGATATTGGCAGTTTGGAGGGATATGTTATACATATATCTTTATATATGCTTCTAAACTGTTGTATTTGGGCTCCTCTGCAAAAACAGTGATTATGCATGAGTGAGGTGAGAGTGTTGAATGATGATGAAAGCATTTTCTTTTTTGGGATTTTCTTTCTTTTTGGGTCACCCTGCCTCAGTGGGAGATGGCCAACTTGTTGAAGAAAGAAAAAAAAAAAGTTTTATACATGTACATGTATATAGGGGTTGCTACTCTCCATGGTTTTGGTATCCGTGGCAGGTTTAGGAGCATATCCCCCCGTGGATATGGGTCCTACCAATGACGGCTAGCCCAGAGGAGCTGCAGAGCTGCAGTCCCCCCCAAATGCTTGCTGCCAGACATATGACTTCATCAACTTTACGCTAAAATAATTTGTAACTGACATATATATTACAGGAAAAATCTGTTGTATATTGTTTTCGATGTATTTATAAGCAAATTTTTATTTTTTTTTTTGAAATGAGATAAAAAATTATTAAAAACAGAAGTTTCATGCGGTACGATAGTATAGGTATTACCGGTGCTACAAGCCGCCACTGGGTCTTACTGTAGATGGAAATTACATTCCCAAATGCATCACATGATATTAGAAAATATTTCTTCAACATAAATAAGTGATTTAAAAGTGGAAATATCTCATTGTTGTTACAACAGAAACTAATTCCTGAAAATTAAGGGGGAAGGACTAAGAGAGAACTCACTCCCAAAAACTCAAATAGATAATAAGACATACAGACACACTGCTAACACACTCAACTCACACATTAAGCTCCGTGCATTGATCCTCAGACCTCAGTGTTTGAGCTGAAACATTAGGATGTGTTTCCTTAAGACACCTGCTGTCCAAGTTCATCTATCAGTATAACAGGAAGCCGGGTCTTTGTTGGCTTGTTTGGGATACATCCTGGGACAAAATTAACCTAATTTGTCCGAAATGCTCTGCATAGCCTGGGGCATTCTATCAGCAGTATGTCATTGATGTCAGCTAGGTCTGTATACCTTGTACATGTACTTGTTGACATAAAGATTATTATTATGATTAAAGATTGAGGAGCAGATATGAAATTCATCAAGATAAAACACATTCTTTCCATTTGTCTACAAACACACACACACACACCCTTTGCATACAGTAAACTTTATTTCTTTACATCTACAGTGTGAAACCAATCAACTAATTTTTGTAGTTGGTTACATATTACCGGTTAGCCGGACTTGAGTCCTGGAAATGGGAAGTACAATGCCTGCACTTTAAAGGAGGGGTTTGGGATACTGACAGTTTGGAGGGAGGACTTCTAAACTGTTGTATCTGAGCGCCTCTGCAAAGACAGTGATTATGTATGAGTGAGGTGAAAGTGAATGTGTTGAATGATGATGAGAGCATTTTCTTTTAGGGGATTTTCTTTCTTTTTGGGTCACCCTGCCTCGGTGGGAGACAGCCGACTTGTTGAAAAAAAGAAAATCTACAGTGTCCCATTGCCTGGTAGGCAACGCTCGTCTCACACACTGAATTTCTGTGGTTCAATCCCCACCAAGAATGGAAACATTGGGTGTGTTTCCTTACACCTGTTGTCCCTGTTCACCAGCAAGCAAATAGGTACTTGGGTGTTAGGCGATTGGTGTGGGTCGCATCCTGAGGGACAAGACTGAAAGACCCCAATGGTTAAAAGCAGAGTCTCCTCGATGACACACAGATTTCTTGGGTTATCCTGGGTGATTAACCCTCCGGGGTTAAAAATCTGAACAAAATCTTATCTTACTTACAAGTTTATTGAAATTGCTAAAAACTATAAAATACCAATGGAGAATACAAAGGTAGGGGTCATCCTAGGAAAGGTTGGAGGGAGGGATTACAGGGGGTTTTGTGGGCGAGGGGCTTGGGCTTCCAGCAAGCATGCATGAGCGTGTTAGACAGGAGTGAATGGAGACGAATGGTTTATGGAACCAGACGAGCTGTTGGAGTGTAAGCAGGGTAATATTTTGTGAAGGGATTCAAGGAAACCGGTTAGCCAGACATGAGTCTTGAGGTGGGAGATACAATGCCTGCACTTTAAAGGAGGGGTTGGGATACTGGCAGTTTTGGAGTGACATCTAAACTGTTGCATCTGAGCACCTCTGCCAAGACAGTGATTATGTATGAATGATGATGGTGAAAGTGTTGAACGATGATGAAAGTTTTTTTCTTCTTTTTGGGTCACCCTACCTCAGTGGGAAATGGTCAAAGTGTTAAAAAAAAAATGAATATTTATCTAGAATACAAAAGGCTTAATTAACTATCAATATCTTTCCTGTAATAGCTACATATTTCTCTGTTAAAAAATTCATCGAATACAAAACAATAATTCAATTTTCCAATATCTTACCAAGCGTGAGTATGAAGGTTGAGTATCTTCACTCTGGCTACTTTTGCGACTGCCTCTCCGATGGTGATGTGGCCTCAGAGGATGATGGACATGAGGGAAAGTATCACGTCTGTGAACTGTAATACAGAGTTGTACTTAGTTTAGCCATTTTTTCATTCAAATAATAAAATATCTAATATTCCATGAGTCTAATTCTAATTTGTATTAGTGGTTTAGAAAACTGACAGGTTGATAATTGAGTCACTTGGTCTACATTTGGGAATCTTTATTCTGGGAAAAGTTTTGCCACCCAGAACAAAGAACAGTGGAAGATGAGGAGTTCAAGGTAATCAGTCCCTCAGCCTTGAGTCAATGTGTTCAATCCACCAATCTAACCTGGCAGATGATTTCTATAAAACTTTCATTATATCCAATACATAAAAAACTGCTGAATATTTCTGTTTACTCATGAGATCCCTCACAATGTTCACCCATTTTGCTTTCAGCCTTTTGTTGTATGTTAATTTAGAAAAATGAGCTCCGAAAGCTAACAAGCACCCCTCCATGCTTTTAAAATCTCATTATGTAAGTCAGAGTACATTACTGCCTATGTGCAGTGCTGAAAGCATGGTTAATTCACATACTGCCTAAGTACAGTATCTGAAAGCATGGTTAATTTCTAATGTCTGTGCTAGTCATATTGCACATCACCTGGTTTCAAGTTAATGAATTATTGATAAGAAATCAGATGAATTATGGCAAAGATCTCTTCTATTATGAACAAATTTGAGTAATAAAATGCAAAAGCAAGGGAAGAGCTAAACAGGAAAATAAAAAGGTAAAATTCAATATACAGAATGGAAGGAGCTTTCAGAGTAAGATTTATTCAAGCAGTTTTGAACTGTAGTATTGGTGCCCCTCTGGCAAGACAGTGATGGAGTGAGTGATGGTGAAAGTACTTTTTTTTTTTTGACTACCCTGCCTTAGTGGGAAATGTCAAGTGTGTTGAAAAAAAAAATATTTTAAACTTTTATATTGGTTTTATGTACTAAATTATGTAGAATTTAACCTAGGATAAAGAAATAAAATCAAGCAATGTGAGCTATTTCCACAGAAATCCTTCATAAGCCTGTGACTTCCAATCTCTGAGAAGACCACCAGAGACTGTGGTAAGAAATCCTACTTAATAGTCTATGTCTAATTCTTAAGACAAGTATAATCATTAGGATTATAGTCTGCCAAAATGCATTGTATACTAGTGGCTTTCTTTTGTCTACCAATGTTTTATTACATGTACACTATGTTATTTTTATACCACATAGAGAAATACAAACTTTTTTTGTATAATAACAAGTGAAAACAGATAAGTTACATTAGAAGTGGAACGAAAAATGCAAAATGAACACCTGAAAATTAGTTTTGTGTAATATATTTTTTGGGGGTCAAAAAAATTATCCATGAAAAACGTACTGTCCAATGTGCTTTATGTACAAAATGAGAAGCAAAATTTAACAGGCAAGAAAATTTTAATAGGTTTAACAACATTGAAAAATTATATTATTAAAGGCAGTTAATATGTGGGTTTGGTAAACGAACAATCACTAAGAAAACTTTCGCTTGACATCACATGCTGAAATTAATGAAACTACTTCTGAAAAAATGTACAGCCTAATTTAACCAGAGAGCCAATCAAGATACAATATTCTGTAGGTACTTTACATACTCAAGTCAGTTTAATATTAATAACAATAATTAAAGGCATTACAATAGCTTATATTTGTTGAAAATGTTTTTCATAATATGTCTGAAACAAATCAAGTTAATTCCTTACATTTAATATCAGAGTCACGAACTCGTAGATCATCAGCTTCACAAACTTGTAAATTTTCATCATACCCTGGTGACCATGGGGCAGACACTGTATCTGGAGCATTCAAATGACTCAGTGAAAAATCTTCACATGTTCCTTCTGTCTCAAACATTTTGTCCATGTCTTCATTAATTTGCTCGGACGAGTGCTTCTTCATCTTTGTATCAACATCATACACCGGGGACTGTCAAAAATCAAATTTATACTGTCCAGTATGAGACTTGTAGTCAAAAGATAAGCTATTTTGCATAAGCCCAATGATTTTACCGAAATACATAAAATATGTTTTTGTTCAATAAGTTCAAAACAATTTTGCAATACAGCCTCTCCTCACTTAATGATGGAGTTCCGTTACTAAGACCACATAGTTAAACGAATCTGTCGCTAAGTGAGGAGCATACTATAATGGTAGTGAGTTTGTGTTAACCATCTTTGATATTGTTTTAATGTCACCTTTGCACCATTTATAACATTTCTGGTATACGTATTGTTAAATGATTATACAGTAGTGCACTGTACATATATTGAAATAAACAAAACAGAGAAAATCAGCTCTAGTATACATTATAGAGGTATGAATACTAGTCAGAGAGACCATCGTAAATCTGAGGCATCAGTAAACGAGTACATCGCTAAGTGAGGAGAGGCTGTACTGCATTTTGTCAAAAATTTGAATACTGTATTGTACCACAAAGCTCTAAAAAATATATAAAAAAGTGATGGAACCATTTTATATAGGTAAAATTTCAGAATATATAATATATATATACATATTATATATATATATATATATATATATATATATATATATATATATAATATATATATATATATATATATATACATACATACATATATTATATATATATATATAATGAATATATATATATACGTATATTTTTTTTTTTTTTTTTCAACAAGTCGGTCGTCTCCCACCGAGGCAGGGTGACCCAAAAAAGAAAGAAAATCCCCAAAAAGAAAATACTTTTATCATCATTCAACACTTTCACCACACTCACACATTATCACTGCTTTTGCAGAGGTGCTCAGAATACAACAGTTTAGAAGCATATATGTATAAAGATACACAACATATCCCTCCAAACTGCCAATATCCCAACCCTCCTTTAAAGTGCAGGCATTGTACTTCCCATTTCCAGGACTCAAGTCCGACTATAAGAAAAAAACCGGTTTCCCTGAATCCCTTCACTAAATATTACCCTGCTCCACACTCCAACAGATCGTCAGGTCCAAGTATCATTCACTCCATTCACTCCTATCTAACACGCTCATGCACGCTTGCTGGAAGTCCAAGCCCCTCGCCCACAAAACCTCCTTTACCCCTTTTCCAACCCTTTCAGGACGACCCCTACCCCTCTTTCCTTCCCCTATAGATTTATATGCTTTCCATGTCATTCTACTTTGATCCATTCCTCTAAATGACCAAACCACCTCAACAACCCCTCTTCTGCCTCTGACTAATGCTTTTATTAACTCCAACCTTCTCCTAATTCCACACTCCGAATTTTCTGCATAATATTTACACCACACATTGCCCTTAGACAGGACATCTCCACTGCCTCCAACCGTCTCCTCGCTGCTGCTTTACCACCCAAGCTTCACATCCATATAAGAGTGTTGGTACTACTATACTTTCATTATTCATATATATACGTATTATATATATATAATATATATATATATATATATATATTATTATATATATATATATATATATATATATATATACGTATATATATATAGTTATATATATATACGTATTATATATACTATGTATATATACGTATGTATATATAAGTATGTATTATATACGTATGTTATAATACGTATATATATACGTTATATGTATATATGTATATATATATACGTATGTATGTAAAGAAACTAGAGAATGTGCAAAGGTTTGCAACAAGACTAGTCCCAGAGTTAAGAGGTATGTCTATGAGGAGAGGTTAAGGGAAATCAACCTGACGACACTGGAGGACAGGAGAGATAGGGGGGAATGATACGACTTACAAAATACTGAGAGGAATTGACAAGGTGGACAAAGACAGGATGTTCCAGAGACTGGACACAGCAACATGGGGACACAGTTGGAAGCTGAAGACACAGATGAATCAAAGGGATGTTAGGAAGTATTTCTTCAGCCACAGAGTAGTCAAGGAGTGGAATAGTTTGGGAAGCGATGTAGTGGAGGCAGGATCCATACATAGCTTTAAGCAGAGGTACGATAAAGCTCATGGTTCAGGGAGAGTGACCTAGTAGCGACCAGTGAAGAGGCGGGGCCAGGAGCTTGGACTCGACCCCTGCAACCTCAACTAGGTGAGTACAACTAGGTGAGTACACAAACACACACACACACACAAACACACACACAATAATTGAAAACAAGTGATAAAAGATGCAAAATTACCACAGAGGGGGTTGAATGATAGCTCTAGGCCTTTCGTGTTGTAATAATTAACACATCATGAGGAGTTTGCAATATTGCAGAAATGAGCAGGAAGTAGTACAGGCAGATTTGTTCAGGGAAAGCTCCTGATGACGTGTTGACTGTTGCAACATGAAAGGGCTAGAGCAATAATTCTTATATATATATATATATATATATATATATATATATATATATACACACACATGAAAAATAACTACCTGTACTTAGCTAACGTGACACATGTGAACTAGAGGCATATGCAAATATTGTTACCCTTGAAACTTTCTTATACAGATTAAGTTGCAAAATTAAATATACTTTATAAATCAACTAGTCACTGGTCTCGTGGTACTTGTATAATTTTGGGGGTTAACATAGGTATTTTATACATATTATGTAAGACAACTGTAATCATCATAAGACTGAGTAATTATGCCTGAATAAACTTAGTTACTGTAAAATCTTATATGACATATAGGTTAATATATAATTACATGTGGCATAACGAAATGTGACAACATAATACAATATAATATTACATTACCTAACAAAAACACAAGGTAATGTAAACTAATAAAGTAATTTAACTAATCTAAACTAACATTTGTTTGTCTTGGTTTGTGACGTCACTCGACCTCGTGATTTCAATAAGTAACTTTATTCAGGTACAATGTGTCATACAAACGTATAAATATCTCGCATTTCCTTGTATTTTATCTTGTATCATTGATAGTATTACGTCTTCCCATTTTTACCGTCGTTCCACATCTTTACACAAGATCTCACTCAGTTATTAACAAGATCATCGCCCATTACAATTAACAAGCTCATTCAGTGACATAATTATAATCTTATTTAGCTTACCATATTAGCCAGAGATGATATTTTCTCCATCTTGGACCCCTATTAAGCTTGTTTTAACAGCAAAACCAGTTTAATGGAATGTTTCCTTCCTTCCAGCGGTGATGATGTAACTCCTCCAGACCTGTGGGTAAGACGCAATTGTCATCAGCTCTTGAGAAAAAAAAAATTATGGGGGAGAAATTAAATATAATATAGTGTGTCATAATGTTCTCGTTATTTAATGTGTACCTGAAATAATGTAATAACGCCCAACAGAAATAAATCAATGGAAATAAGTCACTTTGTCTTGCTTATCTGGGTTATCCTAGGTGATCTACACATGTGCTGCTATGTAGGATAATTTATGTAACTGTATGTATGTGTATTTGTACCTTACTAATTATTATTATAATCAAAAAGGTGTACCTTACTAAACTTATTTAGTTATTCTTAAATGGACACCTGGCCTTAAGTAAGTTTCATTTTTTACAGAAAAATCTTAAATAAATTATGCCTACAAATGCAAGATAAAAAAAACACTGAGTAATATGTACCAGCAATATATTATCTTTATTGAATAAGAGGAATTCTGATGTTTAAATAAGCATATATTAAGAGAAACGACATATATTTCACCAACCTAAGAAGTGTTGACAACTACTGAATTGAAAATCAATCACGCATTTATTTTAACAAAGTCAAATAATATAATTAGTGAAATCGTATCTTGTAATAAGAGATAAATATGTAATGCATAAGTTTCTGACAAGAAACAATGTAACATAAAATGCTAATATATATGAAGCAAGTGGAGACTACACTCTCCGATAAGTAATGATGACACGCAAATCAACAGGAAATATACACTATACAAACAATTTCTTTATAAAGCATACAAAATGTAATTTACATGTAATAAAACATTGTTAAGCACAAAAGAAAGCCATTAGCATGCTGTGTTTATTGATATGTATATACACTGATATGAAAAAGTAGAATATACTGATTAGTAACCCCGAAGGCATTTTAATAACCCAAGGATAACCCAAGAAAGCTAAGCAGTATGACTTATTAAGTTTATTCAGGTACAGGTAAACATAAATAAAGTTGTATAAATTATAATACATATCTGCATATGTGTAGATTACCTAGGCCTAGGGTAACCAACAATGTCAGACAGTGACATATTTCCATTAGGGTCCTTGACTTATTTTCACTGGGATTTTTAGTTTTTAGTTCTTTCTCCGGGATGCTAACCACAGTCTACTAACTCCTATGAAACTTAATTTAATGTTAACCGTTTGGGTTTAGAGAATTTTTAATGTTAGTAAACCCTATGTAAATATAACTACAGCCCTACTTGAACGAAACCTATAAAAACTACCCTAAATACTGAACAACGAAAAAAATGGTTATTAGTGTAACCATAATTTTTAAAGGGGTGGACGAGTAAGCCAGCGGAAGGTCTCGATCAGATGACCAGAAACTCCAGCTGCGGGTCATCATATGACTAAGGCCCTCGTCAGGAAACACTTGTCCTGTTTCCTGACAAACCTTACCTAACTTAACCTAACTGAACCCACTTAACAATATAACGAAAGAGCACTGTAGTACTGATACTGGAATCAGTACATATGTATGGATGGATGGATGCACCAGGAGGCCTGGTCACAGACCGGGCCGCGGGGGCATTGACCCCCGAAACTCTCTCCAGGTAAACTCCAGGTAATGAAGACAGGACTCGCAGCAATGGTTTCAAGATGGAAAAATCTAGATTTAGAAAGGATATAGGAAAGCACTGGTTTGGTAATAGAGTTGTGGATGAGTGGAACAAACTCCCGAGTAGCGTCACTGAAGCTAGTTTTAAAAATAGGTTAGATAAATACATGAGTGAGTGTGGGTGGGTGTGAGTTGGACCTCACTAGTTTGGGCCAACAGGCCTGATGCAGTACTCCTTCCTTGTTAATGGATATTACTTGGACCTGACTAGCTTAGGCCAATAGGTGACTTGGACCTGCCTAGCATGGGCCAGCAGGCCTGCTAAAGTGCTCTTATTTTCTTACGTATGTATATGGATACGTCTCCTTACGCTTGTAATGTATTAACGTTGGTAGAATTACCGACAATATGCTAAGGAAAAGGACACGAGCGCAACTATGTACTGTTTTTATAACGTCTTGACAAAGCTCTTGGAGAGCTAAACGTTGCCACAATAAAATGTCACATTAGTTGCACTTGTCTCCTTTAAACAGTTACCTAGGTGTTATCATCCCGCGGAAGAGAACCAGACTGACGCTAATGGCCCAAACATGGTACATATATTAGAAGAGGTGTGAAATCAGCATAGACATGCTCACCACCTTTTCTATTCTATCTTTGATTGAAAGACAATGCTCGTAGTGGGGCTGGGACTTTATTCTTACCTTCAAGCTACCTTATACTTTACATAAGCCGCACCTACTGCATTTTGTATCAAAATTTCATACAACTGCATTATGCAGTTACCCTAGTCTATATATTTTACAAGAGTACTGCACAAACTGCTTACTTAAAACACACACACACAGCTCTTGGAGCAAGGAGAGAGTGGAGCTAGTGGCAACCAGCGAAGAGGCGGGGCCAGGAGCTGTGAATCGACCCCGACAACTACATATACAGTATGCGAGTACATATAGGTGAATACATACACACATATGCAAGACGATTTTCCTGTTATTGTCCATCACACAGAATGGGTTTTATACACGACGTAATGAAATTTGTCAACCTGAACTGAAAGACTTCAGTCAGGTGAGGTGGATATCGTCAGACATTTCTCTACGTGTTCAGTAACATCAGGATCTTTGAGGTTTTCACTCCCAGTTACTGAGATCAATCACTGATGTCTCGAATAATGCATGATACAGAAAAAAAGGACATTCGTGTTAGTATCAATCCAAGAGTTAAATGTAGTCTGGTTTTCCAGTCTAAGGGGGATTACCAACAGACCCCTGGCAGTCTTCAAGCTGGCACTGGACAAGCACCTAAAGTCAGTTCCTGATCAGCCGGGCTGTGGCTCGTACGTTGGTTTGCGTGCAGCCAGCAGCAACAGCCTGGTTGATCAGGCGCTGATCCACCAGGAGGCCTGGTCACAGACCGGGCCGCGGGGGCGTTGACCCCCGGAACTCTCTCCAGGTAAACTCCAGGAAAACCCGTCAAATACGCTTTCTTCATGGAAACAAATGGTATAAAATACCGACACAAACTAAACACATAAGCAGTATAATATGATACGGTGGGCGAAACGTATCACGTATCATATATACTGCTTATGTGTTTAATTTTCCAAGGTTCCTTCATGCTGAAGGACTCTCGATTCAAGGAAGCGGAGCTACCCTCCCTTCAAACCTGATTACCTTCCATTACCTAAGTGTAGTAAGATCTCTATGGATTTAGTACTTCCCAAATGGATGCAATAATTAGATGAAAAATAATTATAATAATAATAACTGAGTTCATTCCCTTCAGCCTCGATCAGACTGACATGTAAAGTGAACCTAGGTGAGCCTCGATCAGACTGACATGTAAAGTGAACCTAGGTGAGCCTCGATCAGACTGACATGTAAAGTGAACCTAGGTGAGCCTCGATCAGACTGACATGTAAAGTGAACCTAGGTGAGCCTCGATCAGACTGACATGTAAAGTAAACCAAGGTGAGCCTCGATCAGACTGACATGTAAAGTGAACCTAGGTGAGCCTCGATCAGACTGACATGTAAAGTGAACCTAGGTGAGCCTCGATCAGAACTGACATGTAAAGTAAACCAAGTGTGAAGCTCATATCTAGACTGACATGTAAAGTGAACTATAACCTCGATCATACTGACATGTAAATAACTGAGTTGAGCCTCGATCAGACTGACATAAAGTGAACCTAGGTGACCTCGATCAGACTGACATGTAAAGTGAACCTAGGTGAGCCTCGATCAGACTGACATGTAAAGTGAACCTCCAAGGTGAGCCTCGATCAGACTGACATGTAAAGTGAACCTAGGTGAGCCTCGATCAGACTGACATGTAAAGTAACCAGGTGAGCCTCGATCAGACTGACATGTAAAAGTGAACCTAGGTGAACCTCGATCAGACTGACATGTAAAGTAACCTAGGTGACCTCGATCAGACTGACATGTAAAGTGAACCTAGGTGACCTCGATCAGACTGACATGTAAAGTGAACCTAGGTGAGCCTCGATCAGACTGACATGTAAAATGAACCTAGGTGAGCCTCGATCAGACTGACATGTAAAGTAAACCTAGGTGAGCCTCGATCAGACTGACATGTAAAATGAACCTAGGTGAGCCTCGATCAGACTGACATGTAAAGTAAACCAAGGTGAGCCTCGATCAGACTGACATGTAAAGTGAACCTAGGTGAGCCTCGATCAGACTGACATGTAACATGAACCTAGGTGAGCCTCGATCAGACTGACATGTAACATGAACCTAGGTGAGCCTCGATCAGACTGACATGTAACATGAACCTAAGTGAGCCTCGATCAGACTGACATGTAACATGAACCTAGGTAAGTAAATCCTAACTCTTCCACTGCTTCATATTTATATTACATATATTCAATGTTGACATGAAAAGTATAAATGCATACCAACTAATAAAGGTAATTTTGCTTAGTGTGTGCGCGTGTGTGTACAAGTGTGTGTGGCACCATGACAGCTGCACTAAGCTGGGGTAGTTGACTACTGGCCCTGGCAGTGTTGGCTTGGCCCTGACGGGATGAGGTGCTACTCTTGTTTACTCTGTACGGGAGCGCTCGCTCTCCAAGATAAATCATGTCAGTGATCAAGGGAAGCATTTCTTAGGCCGTAAGACAACTAATTTGGTAATGATAATCACAGCGAACAAACGTGAAATTAGACCGGCAATTTACACTACCTTGACTGCCTTTTTATTTATAAATTAAGAACTTTTACAAGGCTACAGCAAGTATAACTATCAGACACATGCAGGATGGGTTTCCTGTCATGCTCCATTACACAGGATAGGTTTCATGCATGAGTTACGGAAGGTAAATACCCAAATGTCGAGAAAAACACAGGCGAGGGAAGATCTGTATTGTTCCATCTCCAACTGAGATTCTGAAGATGAT